AGAAAAATAAAAAAAATTCAAATGATGCGCCTAGCATGCATATGTGACGTGCTCCCAAGTCATCAAAATGAGCCCCGGAAGTCCCCACAAGGGGTAACCTCGAGTTAGTTCCTCCCCTAATATCCTGGCCGGTGCGGCACAAACTAGCAGCAGTGCCTAGCTAAAAGGCTTCCCAAAATAGTTGGCCCAATATCACAACTTAAAAACGCACAAAGCGAAAAAGAAGAGGCTAAACCACCGGTTTTGTTCGCGAAATTTTCGATGTCTCCTGAAAACACTGGCTAACGATTACATTACCTGCGTTTGTCTCGGCCGCAGTGGTTTCAGGTCCCTGTAATCGCAAACCGCCCTTCACAAAACCGAAAACACCCGATCCAGCGTGGTATCGAATAACACCGCTCGTGCTGATCGATTTCTTCACCACGAGGACCAAGCAGCAGCGGCCGTTTCTTCACCACGAGGACGAAGCAGCAGCGGGGCAGTACCATCGCCGTCTCAATTCACCTCCGCCGCCAAGTGTCGCCGAGTGCCGCCGAGCGCCGCCGATCTCCATTCGCCTCCGTCGCCGAGTGCCGCCGATCTCCATTCGCCTCCGCTGCAGTAGGCAGCGCCGCCGATCTCTCTTCGCCGCCGCCGATCTCGCTTCGCCGCCGTGAGCCGTACTGCTGTTGTTAATGGCTGGTGATCTCATTTTCCGTCACGAGCCATCCCCAGCAGCCGTCTGTCCTCCAGTCTTCTGTTATCTTCTACAAGGCCGACGACGGTACTCCACGGCATCCTATTCCCTTGCACGAACCAAACACATCATGCATCCACCTACCCCTAATCTAATACGGTGTATTCTTATTACAACAGTGAATACGTTACCTGAGCTCCAACCAAACGCGTCGGTAGTTTTGTGACTTGCCGCTCGTAGTTGTTTCACTCGCTACCTGTTAATGAAATGAATGTTGCGTATTCATGAACAAGCAACATTCCCGCTCTACTGAATTCACGAACCCCCTTCCACCATTCGTCGTCCCAGTCCAAACGATTCAAACTGAAACTGGAGTCGAAACAACGGAAGGGAACAGCAAAGGAGAGCAGCCGGGAGTCGATCCACCGGAAGGGAGCAACAGAACAAAAGAAGCAGCAGAGAAAGAAAGCTCTCTCGCAGCCAGCAAAGTCGCCAAAAACGCCCAGAGCTTTTTTCCCCCAGCAGGACACACTTTTGCCTTGGCCAGAAGCGAGCCAGACCGGATCGCTTTCGTTTGCTCCCCTGGCCTGGGCCTCCCCCTCGCTCTCCCTCCCACCACCAGTCCACCACCGCGCCCAAACCCAAACCAAACCCAGCCCCCTCCCTCCCCCCCAACCT